CGGAGTAGTGGACAAACTCCTGGAGCCGTTGTGTTGAGTCCAGACATTTGCGGAGACTTTACACAAATTTAAACAACTTTTTTGTTGCAATTGTAATGTTTTGGTGATTATTGTCAGCATTTTGTGTTAACTCTTAAAGTGTCAAAAGTATGGCTCAAAACTGGGTTTATATAACTAATTATCAATTAAACAAAATATATTTTAGGCGCAACTATAGTCTAAACAAAAGTTCATTGAAATTCAATGTATAAATTATTTGATAATAAAATAAAAAACTTTAAAAATAAAAATTATCAATTTTATACGAAGGTTAATATCCAGCAATAAATCATCAATTATATAAATGTTCAAGTCATAAGTTTTAACATAAAAAATAATAATTTTAAATAAATAGCAAACAAATATACTGTACAAAATTCAATATGAATTAAAAGGTGCAGGTAAAATTTGTATTTTTGTAATTTAAATTACAGATTTGTGGTCAAATCATTTGACTACCGATCCCATGGGACTGGTATGTATTGCACGTAAAATGAGACTAAAAATTCACCAAAAACTGCGAGCATTTAAAGGGAAAACTACTCATAATTTGTACTTATAATCAGTGTTTTGTAAATTAATAATAATCGCAATTTGGATCTCATTTTTGGCCAAACATTGCATTTTCAATGAAATACTCATTCAATGAGTGAATTGTACACAAGATATCGCTATAAGAAGTACTCAAATGTTTGGTAAAGTTTTTGCGGATTCATAAATATCATGAAAATTAATTATTTTATTTTATTGTCTAGTACTGTATAATTAAAATTAAATTCATTTTATTTTATAAATTATAACATTTGCCACTAAAACATACATTTCATAAGTTTATAAAACTTTTGCAAACTTATAAAACTTGAAATAAATTCTAACATTTCATGCTATTATATAATAATCAGCATTAATAAGACAACAACTTGCAAATAAACCCTGATACTCTAGGCTCAAGTACACCGTTTTATCACTCAACTAAAATGCACTTTATATCACACAATATAATCACATTTACACAATTTATAAACACTTTAACATCAGTTTTACAAAACAAAGCAACTTTTGTCAAGTCTTATCCAAATACGACACCCAATGATAAGTGACATAACATTACATTTCTCAACACAAGAGACCGCTATTGGCATCAGTTTTGGCATCAAAATCGCTTCAAAAACGCAAACAAAAATGAAAACAAAAATATTTTTACAACGGATTTGTCACTCAAATAATGTGTCAAAAATCAAACCCACAACCAGTCCCACGACAACCCAATTAACAAACTTTTGATACATAATCTTAACTAACAGTCCATTACTGCATACACGCCGTGAAAGTGGTGTTTGTTTGGACACAACTGTGTTTCGCATACCAGTGCTCGCAGTGATCGCCGGCTTTTCGCACAACCTATTGGTCCCACAAATTGTGACCAAAAAACAAATCAAACTTTTGTTTCGTTTCGCAAATAAATTGCTATAAAATCCTAATTACGGCCAAAAAGTGAGCGCAAAATCGATGCAAAAGTACGAGAAGTTAGAGAAGATAGGGGAGGGGACGTACGGAACGGTATTCAAAGGCAAGCACCGGGNTTACGGCCAAAAAGTGAGCGCAAAATCGATGCAAAAGTACGAGAAGTTAGAGAAGATAGGGGAGGGGACGTACGGAACGGTATTCAAAGGCAAGCACCGGGAGACCGGCGAAGTGGTCGCTCTTAAGCGGGTCAGTTCACCACCGATTATCATCATCTCATGCATCGCATAACCACTGCCTCTGTGTCTCGTTTATTAGGTCCGACTGGACGACGATGACGAGGGCGTCCCTTCCAGTGCGCTCCGGGAGATATGTCTACTCAAAGAGCTTAAGCACAAGAATATTGTCAGGTATTTGATCCGCCGGTGATTGGCCACCGACTCCACTGATCCGTCGACTCACTGTCTGTGCCATTGATCCCATAGATTACATGACGTCCTCCACAGCGAGAAGAAGTTGACGCTTGTCTTCGAGCACTGCGATCAAGACCTTAAGGTTTGTGTCGACACCCGGTGTGGACAGACACCTCAACACCCGGTGTTTACCGTTTAGACCACTTTCTTATTTGTCTTTACCATTGATTATCACCAGAAATACTTTGATAGTCTGAACGGCGAGATCGACGCCGATGTGGTCAAGAGTTTTATGTATCAACTGTTGAGAGGACTGG